GGCTATTTGCCTCTGGATCTTTCTCTGAAGTAATTAGACGCTACACTCTAGGTTGGTTTGAAAGACAGCGTGTTGAGTTTTCTGACCGATTGACTGCAGAAAGTGAAGCTTGAACTTCAAGGGACTTTAGTCTTCTGCTCAAGCCCACACATTGTTCCCCTTCTCCCTCCTTTCCTTCCCCACCACAACAGAAGTGGGCAGGCCACCAGCTGTCAGCAGCTGCCACCCTTCCTCTTCTGTCTTTGCCCTCCCTGGCCTTTTCCACTGTTTGCTTCCACTGTGTCACCCAGGCCCCTTAGCTGCCTCTCTCACCTTCCTCAGCTATTATGCCCTTGGCTGGGATGCTGAGAAGGCCAGGCATGGCTGACCAGGGGCAAGTTCTTGCCACAGAAACCTGTGTGTGTGTGTGTCAGAAGGCAGGCAGGGCTGCTGTTGCTGCAGGCTAAACCTCCCATTCCTGCCCCAAACAAGGACTGACAGTGAAAGGAAAGTGAGTGAATGGTTTGGATCAGGAGAGATGCAGTAGCCTTCAGTGGTAATTCTCCCCTTCCTGAGGAACAGATCTCACAAAACAAAAGAGGAAGGACAATGTCCTTAATAGGGTCACTGTTTTGCCTAGACTCAGACTGCACAGTACCAACAACACACATGGCGTGTTTGTCTGAATTGGCCCCAGCACGGAAGTAGTCTAGGACAAATGCCCTAGCAGATTGATTGAACTGCAGCTTTCATGCCAGGCCCCCTGATGACTTGGGCTCCCTCTGTAGCTCCCACCTAGCTTCTCTTCAAGAAGGTGTCTGAAAAAAAAAAAAAAGATAAGCAGAGAACTCCTTCCTGGAAACTACAGTGGTGTCCCACAGGTGTGAACTAGTTTTTAGATGCCTCACCAATGTTCAGATGTTGCCACAGAAATCTGGGCTCTCCTTGGACCCCTTCTCCTGTCCTCTAAGAGCAGATGAAGTCAGGGAGACTAAGTGATACTCTCAAGTCCCTGGTTAACTGATGCTAGGACAGAGCCTTCTATCTGCACCACCGGTCTAACTCAGAAGGAAAAGCCCCTTTGATGGGCAGTTTAGACTGTAAACAGGCTTGGACTGAGTCCCAGCTCCTCTATGGACAAAGGACATCACTTTGAACTTGCTATTTAGCCTAAAAATCAACGTCTTCATATGAAAAAAAAAATGAATGGGACTGTAGCACAGGAAACACAGAGAGTGCTCAATAGACACATTGTTGTAGTGTTATGAGAGGCAAGAAAAAGCATCCAAGACTGACCGGAGTGGTCTGGGTCTCACTCCCAAGCTCCCATGCAGTCTGTCTTCTGATGCTCGAACCTTGGTCTCTCACAGAGCTGATTTGGGATTAGGCATGCTGGCTTGTCTTTCCTCAATAATTTCAAATCTGTATTATTTCCGTTAAATATTTAATACCCACGAGTGAGATTCAAATAATAACAATAAAACAGATACGAATATTCATCCCTCTACTTAAGAGATAGGACATCGGGACTGAGATTAAAGTTCAGTTGGTAAAATGGTTGCTGTGGAGGCATGAGGGCCTGAGTTCTGGTGGCACACACTTGCTATCCTAGCTCTGGGGAAATAGGCAGGCAGAATGAGTCTGGGACTTGGTGGTCAATCAGCCAAGCCTAATTGATGAGCTCCATGTCTTAGTGAAGGAACTTGTCTCAGAAAACAAGGATGACAGAGCCTGAGGGTCAACACCCAATGTTCCCTTGGTCTCCACATGCTCGCTCACCCTACCGCCACGTGGGTGCTTTCCACCAGCCACCCGAATCTGCCCGACGAGTTAGGGTCCCAAATAATACACAGACACTTATATTAGGTACAAATACTGCTTGGCCAAAGACTAGGATTTCTCATCTGTTAGCTCAGTCTTAATTATCACAAATCTATATATTTTATAAGACTTATCTTAAATAAAAGGATGCCTTTCGCTGGCGCCCTCTCTTGCTGGTGGATCACATGGTGACTCCAGAGCAAAGACCAGGAAGAAGAGAGAGGGGTGGCCCACTTCCTTCTTGCCCTTGTTCACATATGAGTCTCCCTGCTATGTCACTTCCTGCCTGGATCACCACTTCTTTACTACATTTCCCAGAATCCTCCTTGACTCCTAATCCTGCCTAACTTGCTGCCTCATTGGCCTGAAAGACCCCTGCCCCTTAGCTCTTAAGTTTGCCTCCTTCTCCGGTCGGCAGCTGATGGGGCGCGCGCGGCGGATGCCTCGCTCCTGCGCCTCCCCGATCCCCACCCCCCCCACCTCCACTTCCCCCGCTGCCGCACGCCCGGAACACTCCGTCCCAAGGCCCTCGCCCCCAAGGTCAGCCATCTGGACGCGGAGGGGGGAATTGAGTCTGTTGTACCAGACACCAGACCTTGAGAATATGCTGGTCTGGAATGGCTCTGTGCCTCACTTGAACCGTCCAATAGAAATGACTCTGTACTTCGCCTCATTTGAATAACACTGTGTAGCGCCTCATTTACATTGACCAATGGGAAAATCTCTGTACTGCGCCTCATTTGAATTATCCAATAGAATCCCTGCTTCTCGCGTGCACTTTTTGCTATATAAGGACCCCTCTCCCTTGGCTCGGCGCGCTTGGCCTCACAGAAGCTAAGTCGCCCCAGGTACCCGTGTCTCCAATAAAGCCTCTTGCAGTTTGCATCCAAGTTCGTGGTCTCACTGATTCCTGGGTACGGGTCTCCTTCTATGAAAGTACCTCCACAGGGGTCTTTCAGGCCAACCAGTACTTTATTTATCATCCAGTAAGACAAACACATACACAGAAGCACTTTCCCCATCATCTCCTCTTTTCTGTCTAAATAAAAAGAAGGATAACTTATCTTTTATAATAACTGAAGAAAACTATAACCATAACTATCTGTCTTTAACTCTATCAAAGACCACAGAAGGATAATATATAAACTCTAGAATTGACAGAGACATCTGGCTACCTGAAGAGTCACCCAAAGTTCCTCTGTAACATTGGGGCATCCATCTTCAGTCCATAGGCCATAGTATGTCTGGCACACTTCTCCATTTCAACAGGAACCTTTCAGTACTGTCTTATTTTGTAAGTTCAGCAGTCACTTTCTTGTGGGTCCTGTATGTCCAGTTTATACAGTGACAAACAGTCCAGGCAAGAGCAGTTTCTTGCTCAAATGGCTAATCTTTCCATGTTGAAAGCAAACTCCATAACAAGTTTCTTCAATGCCCATCCTCCTTTCTGATGTAATTGGTGTGCCAGGAGCAGATGTGTCTCACTGTCAAAAAAACCCTAAACGATTTAAATGCCATATTTTCTGTAGGTCTTTGAAAAGTTTGAAGAATACCTATCCATCTTAAATACATCTCTGTATATCTGAAAGACCTAACTAACCTAATTATAAGTTCTGACTATCATAGGTGACTATATAACCTGTATTTAATTATGCATATCATTTTAAAAGATCTGTATAAACACAATACCTAAACAAGAGGCGACATATACATATCACAAAATTGACCTTAAAGTGTCAATCAATGAAAATCCATACCAATGCAAAGTGTTCATTCCTATGTCCTACTCCCCTTTTTTTCCTTTAAAAAGAGATTGACTATGCTCATTACTATTTGTAACCAACCCCATTTAAATGTAAACAAACATTTATAAACAATATTTGGGAATTTGGGCGTCGTTCATTCCAAACTGCTTCCTGCTGATTGGGGGCGATGTCCGTATCATGGGGATCATGATAAAACATAGAAACCTGACCAAGTCCTTGTTTTTGTAGTCCATTAGGTTGCATCATCTCAGCTGCTTTGGATGTAGGATCAGTTGGGTCACTGCTTCAGGGAGTCTTGACCTATGCTTGATCAAACCATATTAGTCTGGAAGGAATCCACAGCTTTTCATTTTCTGTGGAGACACAAGCAAAAACTTTTTTCCCAAGTAGCCTGTCCTTAGACTTAAATTTTTAAGTCAAAGCATTTTTAAAATGTATAAGTTGGATTAATTTAGCAGCACTTATAATCAAATGTATTTTAGCAGCAGTAACTCTTTCCTCGGTAATCAAACAATTTAAAGACAACAATATAGCATATAGTATCTAGACTCTCTGTGTATTCCATCTTTAGGTGGCTTTTCTATTATTCTGTTTTTACTTTCTTTTGTTTCTTTTTTTTTCTGAGACAGGGTTTCTCTGTGGAAATCCGATTGCCTCTCCCTTTGGAGTCCTGGGATTAAAGGTGTCTGCCACCACACCCAACTACTCTATTTTCTCCTGTTATTTTTTCTCTCACAAGCCTACAGATATTTTTAAATGTAGTGTAAACCTTTAGATGTTTTTCTTTATCTGGATCTGTCTTTATCATCTTGGGAGTGCCGAGTCCAACCTCCATGAACTCCATGATGGCGCGAGCATATGCCTCTCAGCAGCCCAAAAGGGCCGGCTGTGGCAGCAGGTTTTCCTCTTCCTCTGGGAACCTTGGGGCATGGGGTCATCCCGCTCACTGACACCATTCTGTTACCATAAATCTTTCTGCTAAAAGCCACTGCAGCCCTACTGCCACGTGGGTGCTTTACACCAGCCACCCGAGTCTGCCCGACAAGTTAGGGCCCCAAATAATACACAGACACTTATATTAGGTACAAATATGCTTGGCCAAAGACTAGGATTTCTCATCTGTTAGCTCAGTCTTAATTATCACAAATCTATATATTTTATAAGACTTATCTTATAGAGGATGCCTTTCACTGGCGCCCTCTCTTGCTGGTGGATCACATGGTGACTCCAGAGCAAAGACCAGGAAGAAGAGAGAGGGGTGGCCCACTTCCTTCTTGCCCTTGTTCACATATGAGTCTCCCTGCTATGTCACTTCCTGCCTGGATCACCACTTCTTTACTACATTTCCCAGAATCCTCCTTGACTCCTAGTCCTGCCTAACTTGCTGCCTCATTGGCCAAACAGTACTTTATTTATCATCCAGTAAGACAAACACATACACAGAAGCACTTCCCCCATCACCGGATATCATTCATCTGGATTTTCTTTATTCCCCTCATTGATTTTATCATGCATGTATGTATTTTTAATATGTTTTGTTGTGGCTAGCTTAACATTAAATAGAACCATACAACATTAGTCTCTCTTATTTTTGATATATTTTAATTAAAATGTAATTGTATCATTTCCTCCTTCCCTTTCCTCCTAACCCCTCCCATTTTCTTCCTGTCTTCCTTATATATATATATATATATATATATATATATATACATATGTGTGTGTGTACAATTATGTACATACAACTTGTTGAGTCTGTTTTTGTTGTTTGTGTGTAACTGTATTGGTGTGTTGCGTGTAAATGATTTCAGAACTGACTACTTTGTATTGGATGCTCAGTTAGGGGCCTCACCCTAAGTGAGGTTAATTTTTCCATCTCAGAAGTCATTGGAACCTATAGTTCTTTGTCTAGGGGAGGGGCTCCATGAGAGTTTCCGTTTCTGCATTGAGAATGTCTGTTGATATTCCCACTGTATGGTCTGGTTTAGACAGCGTTTCTATGAGACATCAACTTATTTTTTAAAGTTAACTTTTACTTATATGTGCATTCACATGCTCTACTGCTCACATGTGGAGGTCAGACGTGACTCGAAGGAATTGGTTCTTTCTACCACATGGGAACTGGAGAGTAAATTCATAGTCAGCCTCGTGGTGAGAGCCTTTTCCCACTAAGCCATCTTACAGGCCTGCTCATTCACTTCTTCAGTTTGTCTTTATTGCACCAATTATCATCATTACCATTATTATTTTTACTTGGGCTGGAGAGATGGCTCAGTGCCTAAGAGAATTGGTTGCTCTTCCAAAGGACTTGGGTTTGATTCCCAGCACCCACACAGAGGCTCACAACTGTCTGTAATGGCAGTTTCAGGGAATCTGAACTTTCAGCCATGCCTCTCTCCCCCAGGCACTAAGTATTCAGGTTAGGTATAAAGACATGCATGCACACAAAGCACTCATAGATATAAAATAGTAGTAAAATAGTTTTAAAGAGAAAAACACTATTTTGCTATTTATCCATAGTGATACAACTGGAGTTCCCTAGTGTCCAATATTAAATAGTATTCGTTTATGTGAATGTGGCACACTCATTCATTATTCTCCTGCTGATGAACAATTGGGCCATTGTTTTTGTTTTTCCTGGTAGAGACACCACTGCAAGCTGGTGTTCAGTGGTGCAGCACTTGCATGGCATGCACAAGGCCCTGAAGGAGAGGAGCAGTAGCCTTTCACTGAACATTCATGCAGTGGTGTTCCACTTAGAAATGTCTTAGAGACCCATCACCTGTGCAGCCCTAAATATGCACACCACCAAACTTACTAGACAATACCAAACTGTCTCCAAAGTGGTCGTGCCTTATACTTCTCTCAGCAGTGTGCATGAATCACAAATTTTTTTTAAAAAAGCATATTACCGGACATTTGTCATGTTAATGTAGTGATCCGATCATCTCTGTGCCTGCTGTTATAGACTGGGCTTGAACGCTCATCACGGCCTGTGCCTTGTGGTTTCACTCCATTAACAAGTTAGCAGCTAAGAGTTGGTATCATTGGTTTCCATTCTTGCATAGCCCTTCTGGGAAAGCAGTGATGGCTGTAAAGCCATTTTGGCAGGCTTGGAACGTTGGGCTATGACACTGCACACACTACACACCACGTGGGGCAAAATGTCCAGCCTGGAAAAGCAGATTCTCGTTTTCATCAAGTCAGAGTTAATACAGTAAAAAGAAGAAAGACAAGCCGCTGTAAAAAGAAAAAGCAGAAGTATAACCCTTGCCCCTGTCTCTTTCTCTGGGGAAATAAGAAGCTGCCAGACCAGGTGCTGAGTGGAGTTGGTGGAGGGGAAAGTTGGGGGGGCCAACGGAGGAGATTTTACAATCATTCAGAAGGAACAAGAGGCTGTTGTCATCCCACTGGCCAGACCCTCCCGACCCTTGATGACATCATACATGTTTTCCTCATGTTTCTTTCCACTAAGCACTGTGGGAGCAGAGGGGCCCGGAACTAGAGCTCCTTGAGAATATACTGCAAGAAAACCAAGCAACCTGATTAGGGAGAACCAACAGCTACAGAAATCTAGCTCTGGCATTTATCTCATGCTGATCTACTCTAGGGCAGCAGAAGGATCCCCACCCTTCATCAGTCCTGAATCGTCAGCTCCCAAACATCCTGAGGGATGGGAGATTCAGACATCATGCATGAATGTGAACAGTCAAGGAACCTGGAGGCGAGAAGACTTCCGTTTGAACAAAGAACCAGGAGGGAAGAAATCCATTCTTGCTCTCCGTCTCTCTGTATGGTCCTCCTTCCCTCTCTCTCTTCAGTCAGGCCTTGAGGCTGTAATGGAAGAGAACTGAAAGCCTCCAACTTTGTCCCCCTGTGCATTCGTTAGACAGGTTGATGGTCCTTTGATTATGTGAGGAACATAAACCTCCTTCACAAAGGACATACCGGGTGGCAGGAGTAGGGGTGCCCAGGTACGACAGGAAGAAAGAGCACTCCCTCTGCTTTTCTCACCCTTGACCTTAGACTGCCTTCGGCTCCTTAACTCACAGATAAGTCAGAGGCTTGCAGAGTAGGCAGAGGAATGGGTAGGTGTCTTGAGGAGGGCAGAAGAGCTGTCTGGATGGGGTCAGCAGGTGCAGGTGTGGGAATCACTGTCCTTGGGATGACCCAAATCTGATGTATTACCTGGGTCTGATGAGAGGACAAGGTGAGCAGAGTCCAAAATCAGGAGGGGACAAAGACAAAGACACGGAGGGGAGTTAGGAGGCATCTGCCTGATGTCATGTGTTAGGAAATCACTGGGCTTGTTCTCAGCTGATTTTGAGCATATCCTGGTTTTATTTGAAAGCATTAAGCTTTCAGCAAGGCAACTCCTGACTCCACACAGTGTATAATGGAGATCATTTTTCCTTCTGGAATCGCCTATCTCTACCCCTAAGTGACACGGACCTTCGCAAGGAATTAACGGTCCCATTTTAAATACAGCTTGAGAAGAAGAGACCCCACATCTCTGAGTAAATGACCACTGCCATGACCTTGCCACCCAGATGTATGAGGAAGGAGCATTATGAACAGTCCACTTCATATCTTAGGTCTCTGAGCAGAGGAGGCTAACCCATGCCCTCATGCAAACGAGCAGAAAGCCCCCAAGAGTCATCCAGGTGTAATTGACTGTTAGCTTTTCCTTGTACATGGCAAGTTGCAGGTGACCCTGGCCATCTGCTGAAAACAGGGACTAACTACCTAAGGTTTGGGACAAACAGGAAGGCGTGTCCAGCCAGAAGCTTATTCCAACCTGGCAACAAACCTGGTCATAAAAGAGAGCTGCTGGAAAGAGATTTGCATGCCCAATAAGGTTTCACTACTGAAGTTTACACAACGCACAGTAATCTGCCAAGCAGGCTGACTCCCTGGATCACATGATCTCGTAGAAACATGAAACTTGACGATGCGCTCCAGCGAGTTTTACTTCCCCTGTGCAGGGGTGTTTGCCAGCAGCCTGCGGTTGCTCTCAGAAGTCAGTTCCAGTGGCTTGAGCCCTTGAGCCCAAAGCCTTACCATGCAGCTCCCTAGGAAGGCCAGGAGCTGCTGATATCCCCTTGGAGAGCGACCCACATCTCCTCTCAAGAAAAATGGACAAGCTGAATAAGATAACTGTCCCTGCCAGCCAGAAGCTGAGGTAAGTTTCCCTTCAGATCCTTAGCCCTGTTCCTTCCCCACTAGTGCTCCTACTGTTTTCGGAGGCACCAATACCCTAGAGTACTCCACCAGTTCCGAGGAAATGACTGTTCCCCAATGCCTATGGGGAAGCAGACCGCATTTTTTAAGAAATATGTAGGAACCAGTGGAGCTACTCTGGCTGGTTTTTGCCAGTGATAGGACAAAGGGTGACGCTCTGGAAAAGCAAGAGATAGAAAATTCTATGGCCCACATGTTACCGATGGTCAGCTTTCTGGGTCTGAATAGGACACACTGCCGAGGAAGGGCTTATCCAAATGGAGTCTGCACCTACTGCATGGGGAACCTTTGTGGTCATTGTTGGTTATCGTCTCTTGTTTATTTTTGTGAGTGCTCATCAAAAGTTTATTGTGGGGAACTGTATGTCTTTCCAATGCTTTCATGAAAGGACAATAATTATCTATTTTGAAAACTGCTTAAGGCCAGTCACATGGTTCATTGGATAAAGTGCTTACTGTGCCAGCCTAGTGACCTGGCAGCCTAAGTTCCATCCCCACAACCAGATAAAAAGAGAGAGAGAGAGAGAGAGAGAGAGAGAGAGAGAGAGAGATTGAGAACCAACTCCACAATGTTGTTCTTTGACTTTACACTCACTGCTCAGCACATGTATGCCCTGACACATTATGCTCCCACACAAACACACACACACACACACACATACACACACACAAATAACAACAACAACAACAATTTTAAAAACAGTTTTAGCAATATTTATATATATATATATATATATATATATATTAAACTAGTATTTATTTAAAGCATAAGTCAAAGGACCATGAAAATATGACTTCGAAAATTTTGAGTTTTGAGATCTTTTGTCCCACTGAAGTGGTGCCAATGGCTTTCAGAGGCTGAAACTTCTAAATGTTCAGGGGTGTGTTATACTCCAGCTGCAGGTTAGAGCTTTGGACTCTCAAGGGGTCATACATAGGAGCTGGAGAACTGGAGATTTTGAGACAAAGTTGAAGAGAAAGGAACCTGGAGTTGGCAGAGTGGCAGCCCTTCACAGTTAGAAGCCTACGGGTCTTCTAACCCCGAGGGGCGTGGTTTAACCCGGAGGGGCGTGGTAAGAAGCAGACTGGGTGCACCAGGGGGTCTATAACCGCCGGCAGCACCCGGGGGGGGGGCGCAACCATTTCTAGAGCATGCCCGTGAGCCAGAGTCTGTAACATGGATGGATATCAGAAGGTCCCACAGGCACCCTAGGTGCCTAGAGGATTGGAGTGGCAGAGACATGAAGATGTTTCAAGAATTAGGCTCTTGAGAGGCAGCTCAGATAAGAGAGATGGAGAACTGGGGGAAACAGTTACATCATGCTGATGTGAGTGCAGTCTCAAACTCTGGTGAGGAAAGTTCTGCCCAGCAGAGGCTGTCGAGTGGTGTCTACAGGATGAGAGAGCCCTGGAAAGTTGGTCCTGTCTGGTAGGGCCAGCAGGAAAAGTAAGAGTGTGTGTGTGTGTGGGGGGGATGTTGTCTAACCATGCAGAGTTGGCAGCCAGCAGCTGTGCGATTAGAGAGTGAACAGGATTGGCTAGAGGCAGCTGGAGGCATGGACACTGGATGCTGGGGACTTAAGGAACCCAGGCATTTAGAGTTCAAGGCAGTGAGAAGGGAGGAAACATGGAGAGATCAGAAGATGTGGCATGGCAGAGAGCTGCCTAGGCCTCAGTGTCGGGGCTGCTCTGAACAGAAGTCCCAAAGGTCCCTAACTTAAAGCCCTCCAAAGCCTCAGAACTCGGTTCAGGGAACCCGGATGGGAATCGAAATAAAGAGAGCAATAGAATTTTAATCTCTTTATGACCCCTCCCCCCTTGGACAAAGTCCAGTCTAGTCACGGAGTGGGTGATGGGCATGACACAATTATATTATATTATAGGCTTGAAGACCAAAATTATACTTCAGATAATCACATGCTATACTCATCTGCTTGGAGCAAAGCAACATTTCCCCCATTTGGTTACTAAACTGTCTGCACAGAATCAGCCTGTTTTTATGAAATGTGCAGCCATCAGCATGGGAATTTCATGTGGAAATTTGCAAAGACCTGAGACTGTAAGCAAAGCAACTCAAAACACCATGTAAAATATTTTCTGTAAATACATGAGAAGTTGGCAGATGAAATGCTTGTTCCCCCTGCTTTGTGTGCCCTCCCCTGACTGGTCAACAGCTGCAATTCAGAAAGTTGCCTACAGAGTTATTTGGTACCAGATAGCAAGGTAAATGAGAATGATATTCAGACTTCTTCAGGCCTCTCGAAGCTTATAGTGGAACCTGCTCCGTGTAAAGCAAAGCAAAGAGCAATGACAGGACAAACCATACAGGAAGTGTTTGTGAAAGGGGTTCCATTGGTTGATCCAGGAGGTGTATGGCCTGTCCTGGTCTGGAAAGAGATTGGGGGCAGAAAGGATGACTAAGAAAAGAATAAAGCAGAGTGAACCAAGGAGATGAGGACAAGCAGAGTCGGGGGCTTGAGGAGGAAGGATCCTGAACATGAAGCATGAAGGCACCACTGAGGGCAGACTCTCACTGGGAGATCCTCAGCGCACCAGAACTGAGATAGGTGAGGCAGCCAGGTGTGTGTGTGTGTGTGTGTGTGTGTGTGTGTGAACACCGATGTGTGCATATATCTCTTTGTTAATAGAAGTGGCCAGACTTTCAGTTTTCATACTTGGTTCTAGCCATGATTTCCCGTGAGATCAACATAAACTCGACAGAGACCTGGGTTCTCAGTTCTTCAACAGCAAACATCTCTAGGACCTCACAAGCACTATGCTTCTAGGTGAGCATTTGGGAGTCTACAATCCCAAAGAGCTTTGGCAGCCATTCTTTTAAGGGTACTGTAACTAACTTGAAAATGAAGTTTTATATTTTTAACAACTTCCCCACAGACTGATGATTTGTGTTTGTGTATTTCCTGCTAACACACGTGAACACATACCTATTTGTTTGTATAAGTAGAGAAAGTCTTTGACATAAGGCTGGTCATATCATGCTTCCTCAATCTTTATCTTATTGGTTAGAGGAGATAGTATTGTTTTTGGTCAGACAAGCCAAGGTTTTTGTGACATTAGGCAAGTTTACTTAATTTCTCTGGCCCCAGTTTCTTCACCTATAAGGCAAAGATTATAATAATAGTACCAAAATCATGTGGCTATTGTGGGAATTAAATAAATTGTCCCATGAAGCAGCCGACACCATGATCCCAGAATAGCATAATTACTGAGTTTAAAAGATAATAGCTATTAACAATGTTATCATGGTCATTCTCAATAATTCTGTAGATTGCAATTGATTTTCTGGATATAAACAGAGGACTTTATACTGACCCCTAGTGTGTTTCCTGTGAGTTTCATTTCTTCTTTCTATTTTGGCCATTTTCTCTATTGGGTCTAACATCTGTAGCATTTAGCTTTGCATGGATTGTAGACGTGACACATGTCTCTCAGGCTTCATCTGAGTGGCCAGTGAAACTGTTCAGGACAGAAGGCTCTGTCATGGTGTCCAGGCCTTGCTGGCTAAGGCCTTACCCTGGGCTTTTCTCTGACAGACTCCAGGACATAATTCCCTCTTTACATCCTGAAATTTTCCACTGGAGTTTCCAGTTCCTGGACTTTCCACCTGTAATTCTTTATAAATCAATTCAGCTTTCTTTCACCCTTCTGCCCTGCCTTCCTCCTCTCAGGCCCTCCCTGTTTCTGTCAATGGTTTCGTGATCAGGTCTACGTCTGACTCATCGGCCCTGCACTTCACTGACGCCTACACCTGCCACACCCTCTAGTCTCCCTTCCTTTCCTTTCTATCTATGCTCTTTTCTTCCACACCATCTGAGGGAGGGCCTCAGTTTTCCATGTTTCCTACCTTTGTCTGACCTACACTCCTCCACAAAATGGGTAATTTGGTCTAAACAACTCCCAAAGTCCTTCTGCACCTGGAGCCTTCTAACAAGCATGGAAGGCCCATTCTGGCTTGTGTCTTATGTATTTCCTAAGCACTGTGTTCTCTGACTCTCAAGAAATACTTGTAATGTATGCAGAAGGGTAACAGAGCTGACTCCAAAAGGCTGGTTTCAACTGCCTTGGAACCAGTTACCAATCTTGGGTCCCAAAGAAGAGAGGTGATATGTCCCAAGGTTAAAAGCAAAGGCTAAGGAGATTCGGGGATGACAACACACACTTGTCACCCATCTTTTAAGATCTTAGTCACATATACAAATCTCCAGCAGTGTTTATGAGACACAGATTTGCAGTGAGTCTCCCTCAGCTGCGGCATCCCAGAAGCTAACTTCCCCATAAACACTCATCAGCAGATTTTGAGAGTACAGTTGTTTTTCTTTTAGGAGTTTTACCTGGCACTATTGTAAATCAGTTCTGTATTTTCCATCCTCCACCCTATAAAATGGCTCTGTGTCTTTGGTGTTATCAAGGCCTCAGGAAATGGTTTATCTGATCTTATGTGAAGGATCCAGACTTACTGCTAATAAGTGGGGTTGGTGGCTGGTCCTAGATCCTGCCTCTCAACTCAGGGAACTTCTCGGCTCCTAGGCTCTGTGGACAGAGCCTCATCAGTGGAACCTTTAAGCCTGCTCCACTAAGACTCTGGCTCTGCAGGAGTGTCACAGATGGCACAGTGCCTCTCTCAGACACCTGTGACTCTGGCTTTATGATTATACTTTAGTGACTCCTCCTCATTTTTGTGTTCCCCTCTTTTCACTCTGACAGAACACATATAACCAAGTTTGCCACCTGAACCATTTTCAGACGTACAGCTCAGTAGCATTAGATCTGTTCATAACCGTACATCACGACCATCACCATCCATTCCCAGGACTCTTCATTTTTGCAAAACCGGAACTCTGTGCTCATTAACCAGTAGGTTCCCACTGCCTTTCCAGGCCCCGGAAACTACTTTCTGTCTCCTCTAGGAACCTCAAAAAAC